ATCCTTATTAAAAAACAAACAGATATCTGTATATATGTGGATCTCTCTTAAACTTTCTACTCCATTCCAAATGATCTTTTTATTATTTACCTTTATGCCAATATCATACTGCATTGATTACTGTAGTTTTAAATAAAAATTGAAATCAGATAGTGTTAATCCTTCAACTTTGTTACTCTTTTTCAAAGATGTTTTGGTTATTCTAAGTCCTTTGCACTTGCATATGAATTTTACAATCAGTTTATCATTTATATAGATAATGATACTACTCCTCTCCAAGAAAAACTTTATAAAAATGTATTTGGCACCTTGAAGTAAAAATTTTTAAAAAACAGTAGTATAACTCAATTATTCTAATATGATTTTAGGCTCGTATGTGACTTCTACTTCTATTTTTACATGCTCATAAAAATTATCAAGAAGAAAGTAAAATCCACAAGTTTTTACCATATTGGGTACAAGAGAAGATCCAAATTCAAAGTAAATCCCAGAAGAGTCTTGTCTTTTTCTCTCACACCCCACCATCCTCTAAGATATTTATGTTTAAGTCATATCCTGCCTCCTACCACCATTTCCTATCCTGTTACTTTGCCTTTGTAAAAAACAGCATGTCTTACTCAATATCTAAAACTAAAGTATATATTTATTTATTGTCTCCCCACCAGAATATCAGATGTTGGAACTTTTCTGGTTCACTACAGTATCTCTAGTATCGAGGCTAGTGTTTTGTTGTTGTTGTTGGCATAGTGGCCACCCAATAATTACTAGTTCAATAAATAAATTGTACAGGTGATGCATAGGTATTATAGTAAAAGACCAAGCTGTTGAGGTAGCTAAGGCAATAAATTTGGAGATAAAGCATCCAGGGTTGGGTCATAGACCAGACACAGCTATGCAGCTTTAGGTAATTGTATCTTTCAAAGTCATTTATCTCATCTATAAAAGGAAGCTTATGTCATATTCCTCAACAAACCAGACAGCTGAAATGGTCAATAACTATTTGGTATTACAAGACACAAGTTTCACTGCCTGCAACTTCTAAGGAAAATTTGCTTCAATTTTTTTTTTTTTTAAGAGAAGGAGGAAGGGAGGGAGAGCTGGAAAAACATCGATGTATAGAGACGCATGGATCGGTTGCCTCCAGCAGGTGTCGCTACCGGCCTCGAACCGAAGCCTAGGTATGTGCCCCGGCGGGGGAATGGAGCCCACGACCTTCGGTGCCCGTGAGGAGCTCCAACCAACCCAGCCACACTGGCCAGGGTTCTTCACTTCTTCACTTCTTTCAATTTCACCATCTCGGGTATACATTTTGAATGGACATTTTCAAAGGCTTTTGTTGTTATGTCTCGAAAATGTTCACTTTGAGAATGGTAAAGGCAATTACTAGAAAAAGATTTCCCCAAAGACTCTCCAATTCCTGTAAATATGCTAAATGCCATGAATTGAACATCTAAAGCAGGTGACTTTATGGTATGTAAATTACGTCTCAACAGTACTGTTAATGAATCAAGTTCAATAGATACCTCTGCTATCAGACCCCCTAAGAAAGCTTATAAAAGAAACTTAGATATTTGGTCAAGTTCAAATGATCCCGAATATTTTAAGAACTACAGTGGGATGGGCCGCTTGTATTCTGAGCGCAGTAAGAAACCAGTCAGGTTTCTCCAACCGAGAAAGCAAATTCATCCGCTAGGACACTTGCAGAGCAAGTCCCCGCGACCAGCCCGGCTGCCCGGGACCTGCAGCCCTGCTCCCCAGGCTCCCGCGTCCTCCGGAGTGACGCCTACGGTGGGCCGGGTCCGCCCTGCGGGTCACTGGGCATCTGGTTTACCTCGGCCCCGTCGGTTCTCCAGCCCAGAGCTGCGCGGGGACCTGACAAAACAGTCCTGCAAGGCTGCCGGGCCTCCCCGCGCTGCCGTCCCCGGGTTACCCGGTCACTGAGGCGCTGCAGCCCCGCCGGGCCTAACTGCGGGCTGGGCTTCAACCGAGGCCGCGGGTCAGTCACCTGAGGAGATTTTAAGTGTTACCGGCAACACGCAGACCCTCAGACTTAGAATTGGGGTGGGGGCACCACCGCCAGTCTGACTGGCCGGTGGTCGAGAGCGCCGGAAGCCGACCCCACTCCACAGGCTTAACTTCTGCGGACAAGCCCGGCGCCGCCTGAGGTGTCCCGCAAGGGCGCGCGACCCGCACTCTCCTGAGGAAGCCCCGCGCCCTCGGCCCTCGGCGACGTGCCACCCGCGCAGCGCTGGGAGACCGCCGCCCTTCAAGAAAGTGTTTCCGCCGGTGGCGTGGCTCAGCGGTTGAGCATCACCTATGTTTATGATCCAGGGGACGCAGTTCCATTCCCGGTCAGGGCACATGCCCGGGTTGGGGTTGGATGCCCAGTGGGGGGCGTGCAGGAGGCAGCCCATCAAGGACTTTCACTGATGTTTCTGTCTCTCTCCCTCTCCCCTTCCTCTCTCTGAAATCAATAAAGATATATATATATGTATATATATATATATATATATTTTTAAGTGTTTTCCAAGGAGACCGCCTCTCGGGCTTCGCCCCGGATAGGCTGGAATCTAGGCCCGCTCCCCTTCAGCGGGTTCCCCGCCCCACACGAAGGCGTGACCCCAAGCGACGCCCTCCACTTCCACCAGCCAATCGTTACCACCGACCAGTCACTCTGCGTCATCTTCGCCCTCTTCCGCCAGGGACGCCGCACAGCGACGCCGCCCAGCGACGCCGCCCAGCAGCGCCCGCAGTTCAGAGCCTCTCCTGTCCCCTACTGCGCAGGGCGGCGCCGACGCAGCGACGTGAGGAGCGCGCAGGCGCAGTAGCGCGGACTCCCAAGCGGCCCTTAGCGCGCGCCGCGGGCGGGGCTGCCTCTGGCCGCGGCGG